AATACAGCCTCTCCTACAATACAGCATCTCCTACAATACAGCATCTCCTACAATACAGCATCTCCTACAATACAGCATCTCCTACAATACAGCATCTCCTACAATACAGCTACTCCTACAATACAGCATCTCTTACAATACAGCATCTCCTACAATACAGCATCTTCTACAATACAGCCTCTCATACAATACAGCCTCTCCTACAATACAGCATCTCATACAATACAGCCTCTCCTACAATACAGCATCTCCTACAATACAGCATCTCCTACAATACAGCATCTCCTACAATACAGCATCTCCTACAATACAGCATCTCCTACAATACAGCATCTCCTACAATACAGCATCTCCTACAAGACAGCCTCTCCTACAATACAGCATATCATACAATACAGCCTCTCCTACAATACAGCCTCTCCTACAATACAGCATCTCCTACAATACAGCATCTCCTACAATACAGCATCTCCTACAATACAGCATATCCTACAATACAGCTACTCCTACAATACAGCATCTCCTACAATACAGCATCTCCTACAATACAGCATCTCCTACAATACAGCCTCTCATACAATACAGCCTCTCCTACTATACAGCATCTCATACAATACAGCCTCTCCTACAATACAGCCTCTCCTACAATACAGCATATCCTACAATACAGCATCCCCTACAATACAGCATCTCCTACAATACAGCCTCTCCTACAATACAGCATCTCCTACAATACAGCCTCTCCTACAATACAGCTACTCCTACAATACAGCATCTCCTACAATACAGCCTCTCCTACAATACAGCATCTCATACAAGACCACTGCAACATTACATATACAGTACAGCATCAGTAATACAGCATCTGGTGCTAAAAGCATTCACTATGTTGGTACTGTGGACTATGGATATTGAACTGGGAATTTGCCATGAGTGCACTATACCAATTGCCCTCTGTTAATCTCTGCACAACACTGCATATACACTGTACATAGGCACCTGTCATAGAACTACGTCACCAAGCATCTCTACCTATACACATACAGTACCAGTCAAAGGTTTGGACACACCTACTCATTCAAGGGTTTTTCTTTATTTTTACTATTTTCTACATTGTAGAATAATAGTGAAGACATCAAAACTATGAAATAACACATATTGAATCATGTAATAACCAAAAAAAAGTGTTAAACAAATCAAAAAATATACATAGCAAATTCCCAGTTCAATATCCATAGTCCACAGTCCCAACATAGTGAATGCTTTTAGTATCAACATTGTATTCATCACATGCTTCGTAAACAACAGGTGTAGACTAACAGTGAAATGCTTACTGACGGGCCCTTCCCAACAATACAGAGAGAAAGAAAATAGAGAAATAATAGAAAAGTAGAACACGTAATAATAAAAGTAATAATAAATACACAATGAGTAATGATAACTTGGCTATATACAGGGGGTACCAGTACTGAGTCCATGATAACTTGGCTATATACAGGGGGTACCAGTACTGAGTCCATGATAACTTGGCTATATACAGGGGGTACCAGTACTGAGTCCATGATAACTTGGCTATATACAGGGGGTACCAGTACTGAGTCCATGATAACTTGGCTATATACAGGGGGTACCAGTACTGAGTCCATGATAACTTGGCTATATACAGGGGGTACCAGTACTGAGTCCATGATAACTTGGCTATATACAGGGGGTACCAGTACTGAGTCCATGATAACTTGGCTATATACAGGGGGTACCAGTACTGAGTCCATGATAACTTGGCTATATACAGGGGGTACCAGTACTGACTCCATGAAAACTTGGCTACATACACGGGGTACCAGTACTGAGTCCATGATAACTTGGCTATATACAGGGGGTACCAGTACTGAGTCCATGATAACTTGGCTATATACAGGGGGTACCAGTACTGAGTCCATGATAACTTGGCTATATACAGGGGGTACCAGTACTGAGTCCATGATAACTTGGCTATATACAGGGGGTACCAGTACTGAGTCCATGATAACTTGGCTATATACAGGGGGTACCAGTACTGAGTCCATGATAACTTGGCTATATACAGGGGGTACCAGTACTGAGTCCATGTGCAGGGGTACCAGGTAGTCGAGGTAGATACAGTATGTACATATAACTAGGAATAAAGTGACTCGGCAACAGCATAGATAATAAACAGTAGCAGCAGTGTATGTGATGAGTCAAAAAAGTTAATGCACATAGAGGGTCAATGCGGATAGTGCTGGTAGCTATTTGGTTAACTATTTAACTAACTATTTAGCAGTCTTATGGCTTGGCGGTAGAAGCTGTTCAGGGTCCTGTTGGTTCCAGACTTGGTGCATCGGTACCACTTGTCGTGTGGTAGCAGAGAGAACAGTCTATGACTTGGGTGGCTGGAATCTTTGACAATTTGTAGGGCGTTCCTCTGACTCCGCCTGGTATAGAGGTCCTGGAGGGTAGGGAGCTCACCCCAGTACTTACTCCTCTCTGTAGCGCTTTGCAGTCGGATGCCGAGCAGTTAGTTGCCATACCAGGCGGTGATGCAGCCAGTCAAGATGCTCTCAATGGTGCAGTTGTATAACTTTTTGAGGATCAGAGGGCCCATGCCAAATCTTTTCAGCCTCCTGAGGTTAAAGAGGAGAGGTCGTACTCTCTTCACGACTGTGTTGGTGTGATGTGGACCACGATAGATCCTTAGTGATGTGGACCTCACAGGAGGCTGCTGAGGGGAGGACAGCTCATATTAATGGCTGGAACGGAGTGAATGGAATGGCATCAAACACATGTGGAAACCAGGGTGTTTGATGTATATGATATCAATCCACTGATTCAGCTCCAGCCATTACCACGAGCCTGTCCTCCCCAATTAAGGTACCACCAACCTCCTGTGGTGGACACCGAGGAACGTGAAGCTCTCGACCTGCTTCACTACAGCCCCATCTATGTGAATGGGAGCGTGCTCTGCCCTCCATTTCCTGTAGTCCATGATCAGCTCCTTTATCTTGCTGACAATCTAAACCAGCAAAATGTAAACAATTATTGGTTGACTATTTCCTGTTTTTTTTCTAGTACTTGCAAGCATTATTTCTTGCATAAAGGGTCCATGAAGAGAACGGTTAATCCAGAAAATCAGTATTATTTTGATTAGCATGTTGCTAAACTTAGCCTAGTCACGGCAACACACCACCTGAAAGGCTACCCTTGAGGAGCTGTCCATTGCGGAAGTGCTGATACAGCATGGTGCTGAGACACTCACATTCTGGGAATTGAAGGACTGTGTCCAATGATACAGTGTCTGTTTGGATGCTGTGGGCTTGGTGCTTTCTGTGACAGCTCCACTCTCTTGCTGTACCTCCTCAAACAGCATCCTTGTTGATGAGGATTTCTTTCTCATGCTGAGACTAGGCGCTGTTTTCCGACGCCATTTTAGCTGTCTGTCGCTGTGTTGTGCTTGGGACGGACAGATAGGAGTTAAGCCAGCCCTTCACCCCGCTGCCTCATCGGACGGCATCACACCCCTCTGAGGTTCAACACTGATGCTGAACGAATAAGAGATTTGCATTTCAAATGTTTGGCAGTTAGCTGACGCTCTTATCCAAAACGACCTATGAATGAACATCGTTCCTCTCAAAAGATCACAACTTAGAGTAGGCTATGTATGCCTATGTAACCTATTATGTAATCCTATGTGGTTGAAGCCCTATTTAGCTATACTGTAGGCTATGCAACGTAGGCTATTTGTTTAGTTTTTTTGTAACGGGTGTAATAAAATAGCAAGGAGGACTAGTTCTAGAAAGTGGTCTGTCATTTGATAAATCCTCGCTTGAGATTAGGTTGTAGTCCACCCAATGCAGAAGTCCTACGTGTATAAACTCCTCTCTGTAACAAGTGTGTCACCCATTGCTTCCAGCCACCAGCAGAGGTCGCTGTTAGCCTATCCATTCCCTTTTCCAATCTCTCGTTGTCTTTGATTTGTGGGTATTGTCAGTACCGTAATGACAAATGAATAGTTTCCATTCGATTGAAGCCAATATATTATCATCATGTCCAAACTGATTGAATAATCACGTCGTGTAGAACTACAGAGTAGAACATTCGAGTAGCCGGAAATACAACAACAATCTGTCATATTAATGTCGTTTTTTTCATTACAACATTTCGAGAGCTTCAGCAATCTTACAGTGACCACATAGGACATATATATATATATTTGATCCCCTGTTCATTCACACCTCCAAAATAGCCGTTCCGTAGAGAGAACACACCTGTGCGAGGCAAAAGGCGCGCGTTTTTTTTTTTAAAGTCACGGCACCGCCACCGGTGGCAGCCGCAGCAGCAGCAGGTTGCAATCTGACGGTTGTTCCGCTATTTGAACTATGATTTACTGGCGAACAGCCGCACATAATTCAGAGGGCTCGAGTGCATACACCCTCATAATTAGCTGAGGGGGTGGTGGTGGGAGGTTCTACTGGCGTGACGTGGCAATTGGCAGTGTCTTTCTTGTTCGGCGACTCGATGCTTCTCTCTCTCTCTCCCTCTGTGATCAGTGGGTGAGAGGGGGGAGACGAGCTATCACACTGCAGCGGATACACCGTGCGTCTCCGGTAAATTACGCTTCCCTCCCCATTCATACACTCACACACACACACACACACACACACACACAAACACACATATGCACACACATTTCTGATACACACACATTAACCACATCACGCATGCTTTTTTTTTTACATATCAACCTCTTGGAACAGACACTCTGCCCATGATCACCACCACCTCTACCATCATCACTGTTTTTTGTTTATTTTTTTTCTTATTGTGCAAACAGAGTCACCGTCTCGTTGGCTCATCTCTCTGTTTTCTCCACCTCTCCGCTCCCTGCTGGATCCCTTCTGGGGGAGGAGGTGGGGGGTAATAACACGACACCATTGAGTAATTCTGCGGCCGTAGCGTTCTGCTTCATTTCTCGGCTGTTCTGAATGACGGGCGGAAGGTTCGACTTCGACGATGGAGGAACATACTGCGGAGGGTGGGAGGACGGCAAAGCCCACGGACATGGCATCTGTACCGGGCCAAAGGGCCAGGGCGAGTACGCCGGCTCCTGGTCGCACGGCTTTGAGATAGTGGGGGTGTACACCTGGCCCAGCGGGAATACGTACCACGGCTACTGGTCCCAGGGGAAGCGGCATGGGCTGGGGGTCGAAACCAAAGGGAAGTGGACTTACCGCGGCGAGTGGAGCCACGGCTTCAAGGGTCGCTATGGACTGCGACAGAGTCACAATACACCTGCCCGCTACGATGGGACGTGGAGTAATGGCCTACAGGACGGGTATGGGATTGAGACTTATGGCGACGGTGGTAAGATATACTATTATACTGTTATACAGGATTGGCGTGTTGTTTTTGGAATCGTGCGTGTGTCTCTTTAAACCGTGAACCAGTGGGATCTGTCGTGATGGGTTGTGGTTTGGCGTGCGAAAAGGTTCACGAAGGGACATCATGGACCGATAATGGAGATGTGACTGTCTATAGCGTTGGTTTATTATAGGGTTGTAATAGCTTTATTACGGGGTTGTAACTTTTCACATTTAGACAGATTTGGTGATTTTGACTTAAGCTCCATTACGCACAAGGGAACATGCTCGCGACGGTGCGCCATAACATATTTTATTTTAATAATAAGTAGATTCCACGCGATCATTTTGATTAAGCGTCAGTTCATTAGTCAGGACGCTGCATGGGTTCTCTCTCTGTGCTAGCTGCATGGGTTCTCTCTCGGTGCTAGATGCATGGGTTCTCTCTCTGTGCTAGCTGCATGGGTTCTGTCTCTGTGCTAGCTGCATGGGTTCTCTCTCTGTGCTAGCTGCATGGGTTCTCTCTCTGTGCTAGCTGCATGGGTTCTCTCTCTGTGCTAGCTGCATGGGTTCTCTCTCTGTGCTAGCTGCATGGGTTCTCTCTCTGTGCTAGCTGCATGGGTTCTCTCTCTGTGCTAGCTGCATGGGTTCTCTCTCTGTGCTAGCTGCATGGGTTCTCTCTCTGTGCTAGCTGCATGGGTTCTCTCTCTGTGCTAGCTGCATGGGTTCTCTCTCTGTGCTAGCTGCATGGGTTCTCTCTCTGTGCTAGCTGCATGGGTTCTCTCTCTGTGCTAGCTGCATATGGGTTCTCTCTCTGTGCTAGCTGCATGGGTTCTCTCTCTGTGATAGACTATAGCTGATTGTGTTATTCCGTGACCAGCAAATAGCGTTTTCAGCCATTGATTTATACTACACGTGACAGTAACAGTAGCAGTGTATTCGGGGTGATGGAGAGCAGAGAGATAGAGAAAGTTTGTGTGTGTGTGTGTGTGTGTGTGTGTGTGTGTGTGTGTGTGTGTGGAATGGGCAAAATCAGGGCAAAGTGCGTGCAGAGCAAACTCTAGCTAGCAGAGAGACTGCCATCTAGCTTATTATAGCTGGACTATCACCTAGCCTATAGGCCTATCCGTGGTATGATAAGACTTAAAATAGGTTATTCATATTGAAGCCTGTTCCTTTCTGTCAGTAAACAGCCTGTATGGAGATCCCATACGATGTGTACTGTATGCATGGTCCCCTATATAAACCCTTCATTCTCCTAATTTACACAATCAGAGCTGTTGACACCCTGACTGGGTGCTGAAAGTGAGACCAGAGCAGGTTGACAGACACATCAGTTGATCTCTGATCTGACCTGCGTAGTCAAAGGAGAATTCCCAGACCACAAGGGACCTTGGTTACTGTCGATAACTGGTATTCTCTATGACACGTCATTCACTATATCACATTAGTCCTGTTGATACCATCTGATATTATCAAAACAAACCTCATCCCCAAGTACTGTAATACATTAGTGACATCACTAAGCAGCATTTCCTACTACATAGGCTACTCCTGATCAGAAGAGCTGGACATATAGTGTAACCTTCTAACCCCACAGTGCATTCAGAAAGTATTCAGACCCCTTAACTTTTTGCACATTTTGTTAAGTTACAGCCTTATTCTAAAATGTATTTTTTTTTAAATGTCCAAATCAATCTACACACAATACCCCATAATGACAAAGTGAAAACAGGTTTTTAGAAATTTTTGCTACTTTATAAAGAAATTTAAAAAATGGTTTATTTACATAAGTATTCAAACCCTTTGCTATGAGACTCGAAATTGAGCTCAGATGCATCCTGTTTCCATCGATCATCCTTGAGATGTTTCTACAACTTGATTGGAGTCCACCTGTGGTAAATTCAATTGATTGGACATGATTTGGAAAGGCACACACCTGTCTATATAAGGTCCCACAGTTGACAATGCATGTCAGAGCAAAAACCAAGCCATGAGGTCGAAGGAATTGTCAGTAGAGCACCGAGACAGGATTGTGTCGAGGCACAGATCTGGGGAAGGGTACCAAAAACATTCTGCAGCATTAAAGGTCCCCAAGAACACAGTGGCCTCCATCATTCTTAAATGGAAGAAGTTTGGAACCACCAAGACTCTTCCTAGAGCTGGCCGCCCGGCCAAACTGAGCTCCAGAGTTCCTCTGTGGAGACGGGAGAACCTTCCAGAAGGACAACCATCTCTGCAGCACTCCACTAATCAGGCCTTTATGGTAGAGTGGCCAGACGGAAGCCACTCCTCAGTAAAAGCCTGCTTGGAGTTTGCCAAAAGGCACCTAAAGGACTCTCAGACCATAAGAAACAAGACTCTCTGGTCTGATGAAACCAAGATTGAACTCTTTGGCCTGAATGCCAAGCGTCTTGTCTGGAGGAAACCTGGCACCATCCCTACGGTGAAGCATGGTGGTGGCAGCATCATGCTGTGGGAATGTTTTTCAGAGGCAGGGACTGGGAGACTAGTTAAGATCGAGAGAAAGATTAACGTAGCAAAGTACAGAGAGATCCTTGATGAAAACCTGCTCCAGAGTGCTCAGGAACACAGACTCGTGCGAAGGTTCACCTTCCAACAGGACAATGACCCTAAGCACACAGCTAAGACAATGCAGGAGTGGCTTCAGGACAGTTCTCTGAACGTTCTTGAGTGGCACGGACGTGAGACCGATTGAACATCTCTGGAGAGACCTGAAAATAGCTGTGCAGCGACGCTTCCCATCCAACCTGACAGAGCTTGAGACATTTTTTTTACAATCCATTTTAAAATAAGGATGTAACATAACAAAATGTGAAAAAAGTCAAGGGGTCTGAATACTTTCCGAATGCACTATAGCTACCACCCTGATCCTAAGGGTCAGTTGAAGACCTAGCGGTAGCTATCACCCTGATCTGAAGGGTCAGTTGAAGACCTAGCGGTAGCTATCACCCTGATCTGAAGGGTCAGTTCAGTTGAAGACCTAGCGGTAGCTATCACCCTGATCTGAAGGGTCAGTTCAGTTGAAGTCCTAGCAATAGCTATCACCCTGATCTGAAGGGTCAGTTCAGTTGAAGACCTAGCGGTAGCTATCACCCTGATCTGAAGGGTCAGTTGAAGACCTAGCGGTAGCTATCACCCTGGTCTGAAGGGTCAGTTGAAGACCTAGCGATAGCTATCACCCTGATCTGAAGGGTCAGTTGAAGACCGAGCGATAGCTATCACCCTGATCTGAAGGGTCAGTTCAGTTGAAGACCTAGCGATAGCTACCACCCTGATCTGAATGGTCAGTTCAGTTGAAAACCTAGCGGTAGCTATCACCCTGATCTGAATGGTCAGTTCAGTTGAAGACCTAGCGATAGCTTTCACCCTGATCTGAATGGTCAGTTCAGTTGAAGACCTAGCGGTAGCTATCACCCTGATCTGAACGGTTAGTTGAAGACCTGCCGGTAGCTATCACCCTGATCTGAAGGGTCAGTTCAGTTGAAGACCTAGCGGTAGCTATCACCCTGGTATTGTGGGTCAGTTGAAGACCTAGCAGTAGCTATCACCCTGATCTGAAGGGTCAGTTGAAGTCCTAGCAATAGCTATCACCCTGATCTGAAGGGTCAGTTGAAGACCTAGCGGTAGCTATCACCCTGATCTGAAGGGTCAGTTGAAGACCGAGCGATAGCTATCACCCTGATCTGAAGGGTCAGTTGAAGACCTAGCGGTAGCTATCACCCTGATCTGAAGTGTCAGTTGAAGACTGAGCGATAGCTATCACCCTGGTCTGAAGGGTCAGTTGAAGACCTAGCGGTAGCTATCACCCTGATCTTAAGTTTCAGTTCAGTTGAAGACCTAGCGGTAGCTATCACCCTGATCTGAAGGGTCAGTTGAAGACCTAGCGGTAGCTATCACCCTGATCTGAAGGGTCAGTTGAAGACCTAGCGGCAGCTATCACCCTGATCTGAAGGGTCAGTTCAGTTGAAGACCTAGCGATAGCTATCACCCTGATCTGAAGGGTCAGTTGAAGACCTAGCGGTAGCTATCACCCTGATCTGAAGGGTCAGTTCAGTTGAAGACCTAGCGATAGCTATCACCCTGATCTGAAGGGTCAGTTGAAGACCTAGCGGTAGCTATCACCCTGATCTGAAGGGTCAGTTGAAGACCTAGCGATAGCTATCACCCTGATCTGAAGGGTCAGTTCAGTTGAAGACCTAGCGATAGCTATCACCCTGATCTGAAGGGTCAGTTCAGTTGAAGACCTAGCGGTAGCTATCACCCTGATCTGAAGGGTCAGTTCAGTTGAAGACCTAGCGGTAGCTATCACCCTGATCTGAAGGGTCAGTTCAGTTGAAGACCTAGCGGTAGCTATCACCCTGATCTGAAGGGTCAGTTGAAGACCTAGCGGCAGCTATCACCCTGATCTGAAGGGTCAGTTCAGTTGAAGACATACCGGTAGCTATCACCCTGATCTGAAGGGTCAGTTGAAGACCTAGTGGTAGCTATCACCCTTATCTGAAGGGTCAGTTGAAGACCTAGCGGTAGCTATCACCCTGATCTGAAGTGTCAGTTGAAGACCTAGCGGTAGCTATCACCCTGATCTGAAGGGTCAGTTGAAGACCTAGCGATAGCTATCACCCTGATCTGAAGGGTCAGTTCAGTTGAAGACCTAGCGGTAGCTATCACCCTGATCTGAAGGGTCAGTTGAAGACATACCGGTAGCTATCACCCTGATCTGAAGGATCAGTTGAAGACCTAGCGGTAGCTATCACCCTGCTCTGAAGGGTCAGTTGAAGACCTAGCGATAGCTATCACCCTGATCTGAAGGGTCAGTTGAAGACCTAGCGATAGCTATCACCCTGATCTGAAGGGTCAGTTGAAGACCTAGCGGTAGCTATCACCCTGATCTGAAGTGTCAGTTGAAGACTGAGCGATAGCTATCACCCTGATCTGAAGGGTCAGTTCAGTTGAAGACCTAGCGGTAGCTATCACCCTGATCTGAAGGGTCAGTTCAGTTGAAGACCTAGCGGTAGCTATCACCCTGATCTGAAGGGTCAGTTGAAGACCTAGCGATAGCTATCACCCTGATCTGAAGGGTCAGTTCAGTTGAAGACCTAGCGGTAGCTATCACCCTGATCTGAAGGGTCAGTTGAAGACCTAGCGGTAGCTATCACCCTGATCTGAAGGGTCAGTTCAGTTGAAGACCTAGCGGTAGCTATCACCCTGGTATTGTGGGTCAGTTGAAGACCTAGCAGTAGCTATCACCCTGATCTGAAGGGTCAGTTGAAGTCCTAGCAATAGCTATCACCCTGATCTGAAGGGTCAGTTCAGTTGAAGACCTAGCGGTAGCTATCACCCTGATCTGAAGGGTCAGTTGAAGACCTAGCGGTAGCTATCACCCTGATCTGAAGGGTCAGTTGAAGACCTAGCGGTAGCTATCACCCTGATCTGAAGGGTCAGTTCAGTTGAAGACCTAGCGGTAGCTATCACCCTGATCTGAAGGGTCAGTTGAAGACCTAGCGATAGCTATCACCCTGATCTGAAGGGTCAGTTGAAGACCTAGCGATAGCTATCACCCTGATCTGAAGGGTCAGTTGAAGACCTAGCGATAGCTATCACCCTGCTCTGAAGGGTCAGTTGAAGACCTAGCGATAGCTATCACCCTGATCTGAAGGGTCAGTTGAAGACCTAGCGGTAGCTATCACCCTGATCTGAAGGGTCAGTTCAGTTGAAGACCTAGCGGTAGCTATCACCCTGATCTGAAGGGTCAGTTCAGTTGAAGACCTAGCGATAGCTATCACCCTGATCTGAAGGGTCAGTTGAAGACCTAGCGATAGCTATCACCCTGATCTGAAGGGTCAGTTGAAGACCTAGCGGCAGCTATCACCCTGATCTGAAGGGTCAGTTCAGTTGAAGACCTAGCGATAGCTATCACCCTGATCTGAAGGGTCAGTTCAGTTGAAGACATACCGGTAGCTATCACCCTTATCTGAAGGATCAGTTGAAGACCTAGCGGTAGCTATCACCCTGCTCTGAAGGGTCAGTTGAAGACCTAGCGATAGCTATCACCCTGATCTGAAGGGTCAGTTGAAGACCTAGCGGTAGCTATCACCCTGCTCTGAAGGGTCAGTTGAAGACCTAGCGATAGCTACCACCCTGATCTGAAGGGTCAGTTGAAGACCTAGCGATAGCTATCACCCTGATCTGAAGGGTCAGTTGAAGACCTAGCGGTAGCTATCACCCTGATCTGAAGGGTCAGTTGAAGACCTAGCGATAGCTATCACCCTGATCTGAAGGGTCAGTTGAAGACCTAGCGATAGCTATCACCCTGATCTGAAGGGTCAGTTGAAGACCTAGCGGTAGCTATCACCCTGCTCTGAAGGGTCAGTTGAAGACCTAGCGATAGCTACCACCCTGATCTGAAGTGTCAGTTGAAGACCGAGCGATAGCTATCACCCTGATCTGAAGGGTCAGTTCAGTTGAAGACCTAGCGGTAGCTATCACCCTGATCTGAAGGGTCAGTTGAAGACATACCGGTAGCTATCACCCTGATCTGAAGGATCAGTTGAAGACCTAGCGGTAGCTATCACCCTGCTCTGAAGGGTCAGTTGAAGACCTAGCGATAGCTATCACCCTGATCTGAAGGGTCAGTTGAAGACCTAGCGGTAGCTATCACCCTGATCTGAAGTGTCAGTTGAAGACCGAGCGATAGCTATCACCCTGATCTGAAGGGTCAGTTCAGTTGAAGACCTAGCGGTAGCTATCACCCTGATCTGAATGGTCAGTTGAAGACCTAGCGGTAGCTATCACCCTGATCTGAAGGGTCAGTTGAAGACCTAGCGGTAGCTATCACCCTGATCTGAAGGGTCAGTTCAGTTGAAGACCTAGCGGTAGCTATCACCCTGATCTGAAGGGTCAGTTGAAGACCTAGAGGTAGCTATCACCCTGATCTGAAGGGTCAGTTGAAGACCTAGCGGTAGCTATCACCCTGATCTGAAGGGTCAGTTGAAGACCTAGCGATAGCTATCACCCTGATCTGAAGGGTCAGTTGAAGACCTAGCGATAGCTATCACCCTGATCTGAAGGGTCAGTTGAAGACCTAGCGATAGCTATCACCCTGATCTGAAGGGTCAGTTGAAGACCTAGCGGTAGCTATCACCCTGATCTGAAGTGTCAGTTGAAGACTGAGCGATAGCTATCACCCTGATCTGAAGGGTCAGTTCAGTTGAAGACCTAGCGGTAGCTATCACCCTGATCTGAAGGGTCAGTTGAAGACATACCGGTAGCTATCACCCTGATCTGAAGGATCAGTTGAAGACCTAGCGGTAGCTATCACCCTGCTCTGAAGGGTCAGTTGAAGACCTAGCGATAGCTATCACCCTGATCTGAAGGGTCAGTTGAAGACCTAGCGGTAGCTATCACCCTGATCTGAAGTGTCAGTTGAAGACCGAGCGATAGCTATCACCCTGATCTGAAGGGTCAGTTCAGTTGAAGACCTAGCGGTAGCTATCACCCTGATCTGAAGGGTCAGTTGAAGACCTAGCGGTAGCTATCACCCTGATCTGAAGGGTCAGTTCAGTTGAAGACCTAGCGGTAGCTATCACCCTGATCTGAAGGGTCAGTTGAAGACCTAGCGATAGCTATCACCCTGATCTGAAGGGTCAGTTGAAGACCTAGCGATAGCTATCACCCTGATCTGAAGGGTCAGTTCAGTTGAAGACCTAGCGGTAGCTATCACCCTGATCTGAAGGGTCAGTTGAAGACCTAGTGGTAGCTATCACCCTGGTCTGAATGGTCAGTTGAAGACCTAGCGATAGCTATCACCCTGGTCTGAAGGGTCAGTTGAAGACCTAGCGATAGCTATCACCCTGATCTGAAGGGTCAGTTGAAGACCTAGCGATAGCTATCACCCTGCTCTGAAGGGTCAGTTGAAGACCTAGCGATAGCTATCACCCTGATCTGAAGGGTCAGTTGAAGACCTAGCGATAGCTATCACCCTGATCTGAAGGGTCAGTTGAAGACCTAGTGGTAGCTATCACCCTGATCTGAAGGGTCAGTTGAAGACCTAGTGGTAGCTATCACCCTGGTCTGAATGGTCAGTTGAAGACCTAGCGATAGCTATCACCCTGGTCTGAAGGGTCAGTTGAAGACCTAGCGATAGCTATCACCCTGATCTGAAGGGTCAGTTGAAGACCTAGCGATAGCTATCACCCTGCTCTGAAGGGTCAGTTGAAGACCTAGCGATAGCTATCACCCTGATCTGAAGGGTCAGTTGAAGACCTAGCGATAGCTATCACCCTGGTCTGAAGGGTCAGTTGAAGACCTAGCGATAGCTATCACCCTGCTCTGAAGGGTCAGTTGAAGACCTAGCGATAGCTATCACCCTGATCTGAAGGGTCAGTTGAAGACCTAGCGATAGCCACTAGCCACTAGCATTGTATTACTGCATTATCTTCATTAATAATAACTCCAACCTAAAGGCCTCAATGCCTTTTTTGTGCCAGTTGTATTTCTGTGGGAAATATACCATATAGTAATACATACACTACGTCCAAAATGGCACCCTATTCCCTTTATAGTGCACTACTTTTAGGGCTCTGGTCAAAATTAGTGCACTAAATAGGGATTAGTGTGTGATTTGGACTCATCCATAGAGTATTTAGGTCATAATGGATAATAATGAACCCATAAACCTACATCATCATCATTTACATTTACATTTTAGTCATTTAGCAGACGCTCTTATCCAGAGCGACTTACAGGAGCGATTAGGGTTAAGTGCCTTGCTCAAGGGCACATTTACGTCATTTAGCAGACGCTCTTATCCAGAGCGACTCACCAATTGGTGCGTTCACCCTAAAGCCAGTGGGATAACCACTTTACAATTTGGGGGGGGGGGGGGGGGGGGGTAGAAGGAGACCTAGCGGTAGCAATCATCAGATTGAATGACAATAATGCACACTCTAGAATGCCTTTCAAGCCAATCAGAAATGAGTATTCAACAATTCCACAGTATAAGTGTTTACAATAGATATACTACACGTTTACAATATAGAACGGTAGCAGCCTCAGCAGTTAATGAGATTCATGCCAGAATAGCTGTCCAGTGGGGCTTGTAGCTGAGTTCCATGCTTCTCAGTTTACAGTCATGATGAATAGCTACGTCATACACTGAGTGTACAAAACATTAAGAACACCAGGTCTTTCCATAACATAGACTGACCAGGTCAATCCAGTTATGATTCCTTATTGATGTCACCTGTTAAATCCACTTCAGTCAGTGTAGATGAAGGGGAGGGGAGACAGGTTAAAGAAGGATTTTTTAAGCCTTGAGACAATTGAGACATGGATTGTGTATGTGTGACATTCAGAGGGTGAATGGGCAAGACAAAACATTTGAACGGTGCCTTTGAACGGTGTATGGCAGTAGGCGCCAGGCGCACTGGTTGGTGACAAAAAATGCAACGCTGCTGGGTTTTTCAAGCTCAACAGTTTCCCGTTTGTATCAAGAATGGTCCACCACCCAAAGGACATCTAGCCAACTTGACACAACTGTGGGAAGCATTGGAGTCAACATTGGCCAGCATCCCTGTGTAAACGCTTTCGTCCATGCCCCGACGAATTGAGGCTGTTCTGAGGGCAAAAGGGGGTGGAACTCAATATTGGTGTTCTTAATGTTTTGTTGACTCTGTGTACAATCTGCTGATGATGTAGGTTTACGGGTATCTATCCATCCATAATGACCTAAATACTCAATGGACTAGTCCAAATGACACCATCATCTGTTAAAAATAGAGCACTATGTAGGGAATGGTGTGCCATTTGGGGATGCAGATTATGTTGCTGCAGATTCCCATTGTTCTGTCTGAATTATATTACTCTAGGCTACCAGGTGGGTTTCCTTTCCATCTAATCAATGTCTCTGTAAGTCATGAGCTTGATGTTGTTGTAGGACAGTAGTATCCTAATTGAGAGCGTTGGGCCAGTTTCTCTCTGTGCCTTTTAATGTGGCTTTTAGTCATTACTTTTAAGATCAATCAACCAACCAATCAATCAATCAACCAATCAATCAATCAGTCAATCTATTCACCCCCATCTGTATTGTCCTGTCTCTCCTCCAGGTACATACCAGGGCCAGTGGATGGGCGGGATGCGGCACGGTTACGGCGTGCGCCAGAGTGTTCCCTACGGCATGGCAACGGTGATCCGCTCTCCGCTCCGTACTTCTCTGGCATCCCTACGCTCCGAGCAGAGCAACGGCACCGTGCTCCAGGACCTCTCGGGTGACACGCCCACCGGCGGCCGCGGCGGGTTCGTCCTCAACTTCCACTCGGACAGCGAGGTGGTCACCGGGAAGAAGAAGGGTCTGTTCCGCCGCGGCTCGCTGTTCGGGAGCCTCCGCCGGCTCCACAAGTCCGAATCGAAGTCGTCCATCTCCAGCAAGAGGAGCGCCGCTATGAGCCGCATCAGCTCCTCCGACGCAGACGCCAACTCCACCGTCTCCCTGGGCGACGGAGAGCTGCCGGAAGAGGACCTGCTATTGGAGGATCACGTGGACGCCACCACCACCGAGACGTACATGGGGGAGTGGAAGAACGACAAGCGCAACGGGTTCGGCGTCAGCGAACGTTCCAACGGGATGAAGTACGAGGGGGAGTGGCTGAACAACAAGCGCCACGGTTACGGGTGCACCACCTTCCCCGAGGGCAACAAGGAAGAAGGGAAGTACAAGAATAACGTGCTGGTGCGTGGAATAAGGAAGCAGTTGATCCCGCTAAAGAACCCCAAAACCAAAGAGAAGGTGGACCGGGCCGTGGAGGGGGCGCAGAGGGCAGGCGCCATCTCCAGGACGAAAGTGGAAATAGCAGCTTCCAGGTAGGTCGGTGAGGTGTTTGTGTGTGTGTATGTGTGTGTACCATGGTATTACTGTATAACAGCTAGCGTGGTATTACTGTATAACAGCTAGCGTGGTATTACTGTATAACAGCTAGTGTGGTATTACTGTATAACAGCTAGCGTGGTATTACTGTATAACAGCTAGCGTGGTATTACTGTATAACAGCTAGTGTGGTATTACTGTATAACAGCTAGTGTGGTATTACTGTATAACAGCTAGCGTGGTATTACTGTATAACAGCTAGCGTGGTATTACTGTATAACAGCTAGCGTGGTATTACTGTATAACAGCTAGCGTGGTATTACTGTATAACAGCTAGCGTGGTATTACTGTATAACAGCTAGTGTGGTATTACTGTATAACAGCTAGCGTGGTATTACTGTATAACAGCTAGCGTGGTATTACTGTATAACAGCTAGCGTGGTATTACTGTATAACAGCTAGCGTGGTATTACTGTATAACAGCTAGCGTGGTATTACTGTATAACAGCTAGTGTGGTATTACTGTATAACAGCTAGCGTGGTATTACTGTATAACAGCTAGCGTGGTATTAACTGTATAACAGCTAGCGTGGTATTACTGTATAACAGCTAGTGTGGTATTACTGTATAACAGCTAGCGTGGTATTACTGTATAACAGCTAGCGTGGTATTACTGTATAACAGCTAGTGTGGTATTACTGTATAACAGCTAGTGTGGTATTACTGTATAACAGCTAGCGTGGTATTACTGTATAACAGCTAGCGTGGTATTACTGTATAACTACTGGCTATTTCTGTGGAGCATTAAACTATAGATCTCCAGTTGAATGCTCCTGCTCAGATTGAAGTCATGTATAACAGTAGACAGTGGGCCATAATGTTGATTCATCATCACTGCTATTGTGTGACGCCACCAGTTTATTGCTGCTTGTCCTGGACATTGATGATCAGCCTTCAGTGTGTCTGTGTCTGTGTGTGTGTGTGTGAGTGTGTGTGTGTGTGAGTGTGTGTGTGTGTGTGTGTGTGTGTGTGTATGTGTGTGTGTGTGTGTGTGTGTGTGTGTGTGTGTGTGTGTGTGTGTGTGTGTGTGTGTGTGTGTGTGTGTGTGTGTGTGTGTGTGTGTCTGTGTGTGTGTGAGTGTGAGTGTGAGTGTGTGTGTGTGTGTGTGTGTGTGTGTGTGTGTGTGTGTATGTGTGTGCTCTCTGCTCTCTGCTTCTATTGTCTGTCCATATCTCAGATGGTCCCAGAGCGTGGTCAGGCAGTGTAGCATAGACAGACCTGTGGGCCGTATAACGATACACATACTGCCCTGTTCAGGACAGGCATCCCAACGATACACATACTGCCCTGGTCAGGACAGGCATCCCAACGATACACATACTGCCCTGGTCAGGACAGGCATCATAATGATACACATACTGCCCTGGTCAGGACAGGCATCCTAATGATACCCATACTGCTCTGTTCAGGACAGGCATCCTAATGATACACATACTGCCCTGGTCAGGACAGGCATCCCAACGATACACATACTGCCCTGGTCAGGACAGGCATCATAATGATACACATACTGCCCTGGTCAGGACAGGCATCCTAATGATACACATACTGCCCTGTTCAGGACAGGCATCCTAATGATACACATACTGCCCTGGTCAGGACAGGCATCCCAACGATACACATACTGCCCTGGTCAGGACAGGCATCCTAATGATACACATACTGCCCTGTTCAGGACAGGCATCCTAATGATACACATACTGCCCTGGTCAGGACAGGCATCCCAACGATACACATACTGCCCTGGTCAGGACAGGCATCATAATGATACACATACTGGTCAGGACAGGCATCCTAATGATACACATACTGCCCTGGTCAGGACAGGCATCCTAATGATACCCATACTGCTCTGTTCAGGACAGGCATCCCAACGATACACATACTGCCCTGGTCAGGACAGGCATCCTAATGATACACATACTGCCCTGGTCAGGACAGGCATCCTAATGATAGACACACTGCCAAGCACCCAGCACAGGTGAATTGGTTTTCATTGGGGGGCCCGTCCCAAATGGCACCCAGTATTCCCTATGTAGTGCACTCCCCCCTACAGGCTCTGGTCAAAGTAGTGCACTATATAGGGAATAGGGTGCCATTTGGGATGTATCTAAATGTCTGATTACTGTTTTGGCGGTTTAGCAAATATGTACTGCATAGAGTTGTGCCATCACAAACATAGTCGATATTAGTAACATTATGTACTCTACAGACAAGTCTTTCACAGTCATCTTTTCAGTAATCTCAGACACCCAGAACTGAAATCTTGCATAATTGCTTCAGATGCTCGATAAGGGGCTCGATTGTTTTCCTGTTCACCCTGCTACCATCTAGCAGGCAGGTGCATCAAAGCTGGAACCGAGAGACTGATAAACAGCTTCTATCTCCAGGCCATCTGACTGTTAACCAGTCACCACTAGCCGGCCTCCACCCAGTACCCTGCCCTGAACCTTAGACACTGTCACTAACCGGCTAACACAACCGGTACTCTACCCTGCACCTCAGAGACTGCTGCCCTATGTACATAGTCATTGAACACTGGTCACTTTAATAATGTTTACATAATGTTTATTGTTCTGAAGATAGATACTGATAAGATTAACATTCCTGCAACATTATTATGTTGAAATGTAATTTGATCTCTGAGAAATTAAGCTAACTGGTTACTCACTTCATATGTACATACTGTATTCTGGACATAGCTCATCCTATATAACTACTGCTGTTCATACTGTATTCTGGACATAGCTCATCCATATATAACTACTGCTGTTCATACTGTATTCTGGACATAGCTCATCCATATATAACTACTGCTGTACATACTGTATTCTGGACATAGCTCATCCATATATAACTACTGCTGTTCATACTGTATTCTGGACATAGCTCATCCATATATAACTACTGCTGTTCATACTGTATTCTGGACATAGCTCATCCATATATAACTACTGCTGTACATACTGTATTCTGGACATAGCTCATCCATATATAACTACTGCTGTTCATACTGTATTCTGGACATAGCTCATCCATATATAACTACTGCTGTTCATACTGTATTCTGGACATAGCTCATCCATATATAACTACTGCTGTTCATACTGTATTCTGGACATAGCTCATCCATATATAACTACTGCTGTTCATACTGTATTCTGGACATAGCTCATCCATATATAACTACTACTGCTGTCATACTGTATTCTGGACATAGCTCATCCATATATAACTACTGCTGTTCATACTGTATTCTGGACATAGCTCATCCATATATAACTACTGCTGTCATACTGTATTCTGGACATAGCTCATCCATATATAACTACTGCTCTGTTCATACTGTATTCTGGACATAGCTCATCCTATATAACTAACTCTACTACTAGCTGTTCATACTGTATTCTGGACATAGCTCATCCATATATAACTACTGCTGTACATACTGTATTCTGGACATAGCTCATCCATATATAACTACTGCTGTTCATACTGTATTCTGGACATAGCTCATCCATATATAACTACTGCTGTTACATACTGTATTCTGGACATAGCTCATCCATATATAACTACTGCTGTTCATACTGTATTCTGGACATAGCTCATCCATATATAACTACTGCTGTACATACTGTATTCTGGACATAGCTCATCCATATATAACTACTGCTGTTCATACTGTATTCTGGACATAGCTCATCCTATATATACTACTGCTGTTCATACTGTATTCTGGACATAGCTCATCCATAATAATACTACTGCTGTTCATACTGTATTCTGGACATAGCTCATCCTTATCTAAACTACTTGTGTCATACTGTATTCTGGACATAGCTCATCCCATATATACTACTGCTGTACATACTGTATTCGGACATAGCTCATCCACTATATAACTACTGCTGTTCATACTGTATTCTGGACATAGCTCATCCATATATAACTACTGCTGTCATACTGTATTCTGGACATAGCTCATCCATATATACTACTGCTGTACATACTGTATTCTGGACATAGCTCATCCATATATCAACTACTGCTGTTACATATGTATTCTGGACATAGCTCATCCATATATAACTACTGCTGTTCATACTGTATTCTGGACATAGCTCATCCCATATATAACTACTGCTGTTCATACTGTATTCTGGACATGCTCATCCATATATAACTACTGCTGTACATACTGTATCTGGACATAGCTCATCCATATATAACTACTGCTGTTCATACTGTATTCTGGACATAGCTCATCCCATATAACTGCTGCTGTACATACTGTATTCTGGACATAGCTTCATCCATATATAACTACTTGCTGTTCATACTGTATTCTGGACATAGCTCATCCAATATAAACTACTGCTGTTCATACTGTATTCTGGACATAGCTCATCCATATATAACTACTGCTGTTCATACTGTATTCTGGACATAGCTCATCCATATATAACTACTGCTGTACATACTGTATTCTGGACATAGCTCATCCTATATAACTACTGCTGTTCATACTGTATTCTGGACATAGCTCATCCATATATAACTACTGCTGTACATACTGTATTCTGGACATAGCTCATCCATATATAACTACTGCTGTTCATACTGTATTCTGGACATAGCTCATCCCATATATAACTACTGCTGTTCATACTGTATTCTGGACATAGCTCATCCATATATAACTACTGCTGTTCATACTGTATTCTGGACATAGCTCATCCATATATAACTACTGCTGTTACATACTGTATTCTGGACATAGCTCATCCATATATAACTACTGCTGTACATACTGTATTCTGGACATAGCTCATCCTATATAACTACTGCTGTTCATACTGTATTCTGGACATAGCTCATCCATATACTAACTACACTGCTGTACATACTGGTATTCTGGAATAGCTCATCCATATATAACTACTGCTGTTCATACTGTATTCTGGACATAGCTCATCCATATATAACTAACTGCTGTTCATACTGTATTCTGGACATAGCTCATCCTATATACGACGTTTAGGAAACTACTGATTTGACAAGTCTCCTATTACACGTTCAAGCCATTCTGACATATAACATTTATAACTTATGCAAATACTGTTATTGGACATACCTCCTTAGTGATATTCATTTCTGTACTTACTTATCATTGACAAACATATTGTAACTCGAAACTGCTATCCAAGCCTAGCTGGCGAATTATATGTATAACAAATCAACAACAAATTTTTGGTTACAATTGCTTTAAAGCACAAACTGTTACTCCATTGTTAAATACATTATAATGTATACAATTACTAGCCATTTGTATTACTCAATGTCAAAAACAACCGTTTAAAAATGTTGCTACATAAGACCGAATCAAGCCGGTCAGTCACATATACAATACAAGATCCGCGTTGTAGCGCGATTGATATTGAAATAAAATCAATCAAATCAACATTTATTTGGCGTGTACACAGATTAGCAGATGTTAAAGCAGGTGCAGTGGAACGCTTGTGTTTCTAGCTCCAGCATTGTCTAACAGTACAATACTAATACAATACTAATACAATACTAATAACTACACAAACTTTTCCTACTTACATACTGTCTATACTCACCAGGTCTTTATATTCCTGACTCTGACTCCTTCTGATATTTATGAATCTCTTGTTTCTTCTTCTTTTTTCATACTTTTTTTTCTTTATTTGTGTATTAATTAGTATTGTATCAGTATTTATTGTATTAGTATTATATTAGTATTGTACTGTTAGACAATG